CGGCCCTGGCTGATGCATAGCTACAGCATAGCTACCCTGAAGCGAAGATTTTTGCACCACAGATGTAGATCATTTAAACATATTTAAACGTCATTTCACCATGCATATAGATCATTTGACCATAGAAACTATTTTCAACAAACACTATGTACCCTCTGGTAATTTAACATAGCCATGGAAAATGACCCATTTATAGATGGTTTACCTATTGAAAATGGTGATTTTCCATGGCTATGTTAAATAACCAGATGGTATATGAAGAATTTTGATCATTTCACGCTGGAAATCCCACGGATTTCCAGCGTTCTTTTCTGGGCGGTTGTTTGCGCTTCCAATAGAAAACACGATGGGGATGGGTCAAAACCCTGGTACCCCTGGTGAACCCCAAAATAGCTGGTAAATGGATGTTCATCCCACTAAAAATGGTATCTATAGGAATTGATCCATAGCCACATGTTTTTGTTGGCCCGCTGAGGTTTGAGAACAGTTCACCCGACTGCAAAGATTTGAGGTTTCGTCGCCGAAGTTCACGGCTTCGAATCACCGTAAGTCAGAAAAGTGGCGCCCAAACACGCAGTGAACGTTCTGACTGAATGGATCTCTATTGCAAGCGTTGAAAGCGGTTGTGTCTGAAAAAGCAGGTATCCCTACAATGCTCGTTTTTACAGGGAAAATCATGATTGACCTATGGATTTCGGGATACTTTCACTTAACACACGATAAAACCCATCACAAGGCTCTCAGTCCACTTTCAAGCCACAAAAAGTTGGCTCTGCGAACCCAAAAAAACCTCATCGAGACACGCCAGAATCCTTGGTTTTCTTTTTTTTTGTGTGTAATGTCAACCCTGGATTAATAAACCTCTAGGCTGTTTAATTGGGAGGGTACCATTTAAGTATTAGATGAAATAACTATTGGAGGAGTACCCCCCTAATTAATAAACCATGGTTTATTAATCCGGGGTTGACATTATGTGATTTAAGATATTTCAACTATGTAGTATATTCCACATTATACATAGACTATGTCATTTGGGATATTATTTTTTCCTATGCCATCAATTCATTCTTTAAGGGTGAAGCTAGACACCGCCCTCCCTACCCTCCGCGAGGTCTTTCGAATAGATCCCCCTGAGGAAGGTCACGTACGGCGCGACGTGTGGAGCCCCGGGTTGTGCCAGGGCGCCTGGCGCCACTGAGGAAACACACCGCGACGTCGGTCGGACTTTCCACCGGGCGTCCGTTTGAAAAGGTGGGGACTGATCTGGTTGGAGCTGGTTGATGCCGGTTGATGCCAAACATCGGTGATAACTAGGTGCGAAAAATTGACGACATTTGAACAGGGTGAAAAACATCTACATCGTTAGTGGAAAATGAATTGCATCTTGACAGGCAGCTACAAGGAATCACCGACACTTGCGTGAGACTTCATGTCTCTGACAACATTCCCATGTCCTTCAAAGGTCGACGATAACCATTCTGAAGTATTTTTATATTTTCTCTGCAGACATTCCTGGATGGCAAGTTTGGTTGATTTGTTTCAAGGTTTTTGCTACACTGTTTGCAGTTGCGGTCAATCTTGGAAGAGCTAGCCTCCAGGATTCTTCTTCAAAAATGCACAGCATGGAAGCGACGACTTGCCGTTGCCAGAGCTTGGTTTGGGGTGCGGCATTGAAAGAAGCACACAAGAACTGTTCAGTGTAGTGTGAACAACTACGGCTCAAGCATCACTACGTATGAGCAACCTTATTTGGCTTGGTTCGCTGTCTAGATTATGTGGCTCTTTGAGGAAGGGTGACCGAAGATATATTATGTTGTAAACACACATACATCTACTGAACGTAGAAATATGCCACTTTGTCTGAGATCAAAACATCGCATTTCCCATGAGGGGCCACGTTTTTCAGGGGGAAAATCAGCAAGTTGCCGCCTCGCGCACAGATTGGAACACAGTCTCAGTCCAGCATTCCAGTGGTGAGGCAGGCTCGTGCTGGCCCGGGACCCCCCCCCTGCGTGCCAAGTGGACTTCCATACCGCAACCGTATGATGCCAGGGACGATGGCCGAGGACTTTGACCTCAACCCATGGGGCCGGGGCCGTGGGCACCGGGGCCATTTGGGCACAGGTCACAACGGCAGATCGACGAGCGACGAGATGGCGATGGATGCTATGCCTCGGCGACAAGAAATTGCTGTCTCCCCCAGCTGCGCATGAAAAAAAGAGCTGAAACGGAAGATAAAGTAGGATCAGAATAGTGGGATTTTGAGATTGAAGCCGTCAAAATCTGACGCATAGGGCCTACTAGTAGGGTGTAGCCAGCAACAGAAAGGTCCTTGAAGCCGATCCCTGACACCCCTTTTTGTTGAGGAAAACACCCGGCCAGTTTCCGGTGTCACCGGGCGGACGATGAACCCATTGGGACCGAACGGGGAACGGGGCGCCGTGGTTTGGTGCGCCACTTTGGCAAGTTGATGTCACCATCAAAATCTGGTTGGTGGTTTGGAACATTTTTTATTTTCCATCATATATGGGATAATCCTTCCCATTGACTAATATTTTTCAAGATGGTTCAAACCACCAACCAGAAATGATCTCAGATGATTATCAAGTAGAAGAAGTTGTGATTCAACAGGTCCTGAACGAGATCATACAAGGTCAGCCCAAGAAGGTTGAATCTTCCAACATTTTGATTATCCGGTTGGTTTATCCAAAAAGGTTGATCTGTTTGGTCCGCAGTTCTTGCCAACTAAGCTTTACTTTACTTTTAGTGGCAATATTGGAGGTATGTATGAACTTAAGAATTTTGAAGCACCACTACATCTTCAAGTTCATCATGGTTCATTGATTGGTTCCCAATTTTTTGCTAATCATTTACCCATTCATTGAACGGTAATTTCGTTGTTGTTCCACATTCTGGTCGCATAAACGTCCCCATTGGAGGCTGGTTGGCTGGCTGTTTGTGGGTCCCTGGCATTGAGCAAAACCCCTGGCAGGGTTGATGATTATAGGGGATTATAGAATCACCAACAAGAATGTTTTTTTTTCATGTTTTTTCACAGTCCATGAGGGAATCCTGGATTATGAACACACATTATATATATAGACATATGTATATATATATATGCATCCATACTACCCAAAGTGTTGGGGATGTCTTCATACTCCAATCATGGGAAATCCCGACCAACGGAACGATCCTGTCCTTTTTTCCCCTGCCCGCAGTACCGCGCGGTGCGGTGCCCAGGTCCCCAAGGACATCTCTGCCGGCTTGAGACCGGGCATGAACAGTGCGACGGCCCGGCGCTGGGAAGCTGTGGGTAAGCGCCCAATGATATTATCAGGATGGGGAAAAAGTTCGGAATCGTGGTTGGTGGCTTTATAACTATGTAAAAAAAATATAAGAAGGTGGTGTATGAGACGCTTAAATAGCTATATTTAAATGGGGTTCTAAACCAACACAAATTTCACTGGGGGGCCCATCTTGTATACTATTATCATATTTTATAGCCTCTATGATGCGCGGCTTTCCCTAGTTCCAATCATGTTTGATGAAACAATCAACTGATGAGGAGCCGCAGATTTGCACTGGTGACATCATGCTCCGCAACTAATTGTTGGTTCTGAAATATCCACGTGTGTATCTTGGAAGAGATCTTCATGTGAGTAAACCATAGTAATGTCAACCCCGGATTAATAAACCATGGTTTATTAATTAGGGGGTACCCTCCCAATAGTCACAATATGGTACATAAATGGTACCCTCCCAATTAAACAGCCTAGGGGTTTATTAATCCAGGGTTGACATTAAACCTGAATTCATAGATGTGTGGATTTCATGCTTCGAGTTCCAGCCATTCTTATGGATGTGTCATTGGCCGAGGGGAACCATTGCCAGTTTGCTGCTTAAGCATCCAGTGGTGAACGGAGGGAGCGTTTAGGGAGCTTCGTATTGAGTTTCCCACTTGATATGAAGAACAATGTTAGATAAAACAAGGACACACACTACATATTTGACACCATTGAGATTTTTAACACAATTCAATTAACATAAGCCAGATTGATTCCGCAAAATAATCCATGGTTCTAAAAAAATAACGTCTTATTTTCATTTAACGAACTGGATTTATTCCCCATTGTTTATTAAATATTCCCCATTGATTCCCCCAAAAAACACCATCTCATGACCGTCACTTGACGATCGTTAGGTGTGACGGTGACGATCGAGGATGAACATCCTTCCAGCTACGCCTTTGCCATTGCCACCTGGCATGAAATCATAGCGAGTTTAATACTGATATCGATGAAAACATATGGAATATGCATGTTGATAGATGATATATCATGGTATAATGACAAATGTAGAGTATATATATACGCATATATATATATATACGCATATATATATATATATATATACATACCCGAGGGGCTAGGACTTCTCCGATGGGGTAGGGTGGGGTGGGGTGGGGCTGATAACGTTCAAGTACACGTGCGTACAGGTGTGATGCTACGCAATTGTACGTTCAGAGGCACGTAGGCATACATATGATGCTACGCTGAGGATGTGCTACGTCTCGCATATGGGATGGGGTGGGGTGGGGCTGACAACGTTCAAGCACACTTGCGTACAGGTGTGATTCTACACATCATGCTATACTTATGATGCTACACACCACGCTGCGCTCTTATGATGCTACACATCACGCTACTTTCTTATGATGCTACACATCACGCTACGCTCTGATGAGCAATAGACATGTTTTAGCTGTATACTACCTCAACAAAAACCCAGGACTCAACCGGTGTTGTTAGCTTTGGCCTGGTTTAGAAAGTTTGCGGAACGTTCCTACAAGCCTGTCAGTCAGGTCTTTTCAAGCGCACCGTGGGAATGTTAAAAAGAAATTGCAGACAGAACATGATAGCGAAGAAATGTAAATAGAACACAAAAACCTGCTTTTCTTCCCTTTAAAGATAAATATGTTAAAGCAAACAACGCAAAGAAATACAGGGAACATGAACAATTCCAGGATAGAAGAACCAATGAAGAGTACATTTTGTACTTCAACTTAAACAGACGAAGAAAAAAACCGTCCGTCAAGTACATCAAGTTGTCAAGACATTCACAAAAGAAGCTCAAGTTCTTGTGCATTTTTTCACACAGCAAAAACACAATTTTCATCCAGTTTCAACATTTCCAATTACCTACAAATATGGCGTATCGGAGAACTTAGCCACCACCTTCAGGGCACTACCTGTGCCGGCAGCCGGGGGCAAGAAAACTTTGCGAAAACCTCTGGTGATGAAACCACTTCTCCAAAAGAAACATATTGGTTTTCATCCAGTGAACATAGATGTGGAAAACCCATCATTTGTAGATCATTTTCCAAGCTTTTTCGATGCTTTGGCCCAGGCTATATCAATTCATGGCATCATTTAAGGTGGGTGAACTTGTTTCTTCATCTCTTTTTCCCAGCATTTTTCTTGCTCAGAGCATCCATGTTTTCCGGCACTTGCCACAGCAGCAACTCTAGGTGCGTACTCAGCCCAAAACGGCCGAGCAAATCGCTGAAGACACCACTGCCTGCGAGGAGGAGCTTCGAGCTGTTAGCCCTGATTGTTACCCTCCGGTAAACTAACATAACTATGGAAAGATCCACCATTTTCAATGGGTAAATCCACTATTTCAATGGTCATTTTCAATAGCTATTTGACATAACCAGAGGGTACATACTGGGTGAAAAAAATTGGGGAACATGGCGTGAATTCGAGGATCATAGGGATAAGATTTTTGGATAGAACCAACAAGAAAAACAAGAAAATCTGGATGAATTTGATGGTGACCTTAATGGGATAATGATGGGAATTGGATTCGGGGAATCATTTTCATGTTTTTTTTTTCCCGTATGATAACTATTTTCAGGGTGAGTTATGACATAATTTCAGCCATATGGCCCAAAAGATGGTTGTTTAGCCATGTCTGTGAGGTGTGTCTGTTACTGGGGCGAAAAAAAATTGCGGCCCCAGTAGAATGGTCATTTTAGGATAGAAAGACGATCCAATGATCATGCATTGTTTTTTTTTGGGTACCACACTTTCAGACAAGCCCGTGTTGGATTTTCATAGCCTGGGATTGTCATTTTGATCATAATTCATTCGTATGGGAATAGGTATTTTATTTGTTAACCAACCAGAAAAACATGGAATGCAACGTTGTGTTGTTTTTTCCAGATCCATTTCGGGGGTTGGTAATTTTGACCCATACCAATAGTGATGCCCAGTTCCGGTATAGGTTCAGGACTAGTAGGTGGCTCCCAAACTCATTTCTGGGGTCACAATTCTCCTCCACCATGGACATCCGTAAATCTTACTGGTGCTAAACGTAGGGAATGAGGGAATGATTTTTGTCCCATCAATTTTTCCCTACGTTTAGCACCGGTAAGTTATCCATGATACCAATGGATAGGTTTATGGCACTGCTCAAGTGACTTTCGATGGGATTTATGATAATTTCACCAGCGCCACGAGCAAAAAGCTGGGCCATGACCCAGCTTCCAAAAAACCTTTGCTCCTGCAATGGTTTTTGGCACTATAGAACACACCATTCATATAAAACACATGGGGATTTTCATCATCATGTTTGATTATTATACTAGGTAGATGTAGGTAGTAAGTAGATTCTGAGCGTTCCTGGGGGTAGATGGGTAGTCATGTAGTAACTTTCTCATCCTTTACTAGCTTAAAGGATCATGTCGCAGCCTTTTGTAGGAAGATGCCTTGGCCCGTGTGCGGATGCTTCTGAAAGATACCTGGCACCACTGGCATGTGATGCCAGTGAAAGAGATGCTGATTCTTGGGATTCTTGGGAATATCTCTATATACTGTATATATATATATACATACGTATATAGAGGTAGGCTACGGGTATATTTTTGTATACGTCCTAAGTACATTTAGGTTTCGAGACTGGATGCAGGGATCAAGATTCTTTGGAGTCTTTTATATAGATGGTGATTCTTGGGATTCTTGGTATCTATATATAATATATAAAATATTATATATGTATATGTATATGTATATGTATATGTATATGTATATGTATATGTGTATGTGTATGTGTACATGTGTATATGTATATATGTATCAACATATTAATGCCATTCTCTGACCTGCCAGGGGCATCAAGGAGAACGGCCACGCAGAGGACCCCAACGCCTTCCACGGCGACGCCTCAGCCGTCGACACCACCGATGCGACGGCCGATGCGACGGCCGATGCGACGGCCGATGCGATGGCCGTGGAGGCGCCAAAGGAGGTCGCAGAGGAGGCGCCAAAGGTGACGGAGAATGGTACGGCAATCATTGAGGATGATGACGAGGAGGCAAAAACTGGGGGCTTGGACTTGGACATGGAAAAAATGAGGTTTGAAACATTTTGAAGCTTTTTGAAACCATGGAACATGAGATTTCGAGAAAATATGAGCTTGGAAGTTTGAAGCCATGTG